AAAAGTCTTTTTTCAAACTTGAGTCTTGAAAAAGAGGGGGTCGTCTTATAATCAGGGCCGTCTTATATTCGGGCCAATACGGTACATGGCAGGCTTGATTGGTAAACGCGGAACAGGTGCGCCTGCTGGAGGGAAACGCCCTTCACCACAGCTGAGGCTCGAAACAAAACAGACAGACCTCACAGACTCATATTTTCGGCCACTTTTTGACTTTCCTCAACTGTTTTGGACACATATGTCATGACATAAAAAAAAAAAAAAAAAGATTGTGTCATACACAAGTTATTAGCTGACTGAAACTAGTCATTTACTTTTCGAAACAAAGTTAAGGCCTTTGTATATTTTATCAAGTACTGATTTCACCCTGCTCTGTGAGTTGCATCACAAACCCCCAGTCGAACCCAAATTCGATATTTTACCATTCCATTTGAAGAACCGCAGATGGATCCCCAAATGTACTTTGAAAATTGATTGTACATGCGAGTTTGCCCTGGTATGCTAGCGCCTCATATAACGCCACAGCCTCGAGAAGGTGACCGATGTCAAATCATGATTTGTGTTCTTTAATACGCAAGAGTAATCCCTTGAGGGTTTGACTCCCAAGCAGTCGCTGAGCTTTGAGCGCACACGTCAGCCCGAGTGCTGTTTTTCCTAATCGAGTTAATTTGAGGAAGTGCGGCGTAGAAGCAGATTGACAGCAGGCAGCCTGCCAGTCCACTTAACATGATCTCCGGGCCATTCTCCGCAAGCAGAAATTGTCGAGATTATTTAGGTCAGCGGGGTGCCACAAGTCACTTGAGGTGGCTGAGTGCCGCTGGGCTGTGATGAAATCAAGCAAAGCCACACATTTGCCAATTTGGTTTAATTGGATTGCACTTTTGCTCTTTGCGTCTCTCAACACATTCTGTGGATTCTTTGTAGGTAATGCCATTAATGACATCAATTGCTAATCATTCTAAATACTTCACAACTGAAAAGAAAAAAAGATGTTTGGGTGATGTTCTTGAATGTACAGAATCAAGGATAAGAATTACGTCTTCTTGGTCACCTGATTCTAAAAACTGTCCCATGGGCCGATCAAAAAATGTCCTCCGCATTTCACTCAAAATGCACCGTGGTCTGAGTTGAGAAGCACCCGTGCCCCTCATAAGTATTCAAGAATCGTCGACAGACACAGCCCACAGGGTATGTCTTCTCCTTTATGTTAATGGAGCCTTTTCCTTCACTGATATCATACATGAATGTCTTTTAATACAAAAGGGGACAAGGGATTTCAATCAAAGGCTGGCAAGTTAACAAAAAAAAAACAGACAAGGTGATGCTTGGTGTGGATTGTCTGCGTCCCATTGGAATGCTGGCTTGCAATGGGCTTGTAAGGTCTTTCTCTCCGCCAATTGGCCACTGCAAGCGTCACCTGGACTGAGCCAATTCCGCAGACTGCATAATCCGAACAGGAACTGATTGAATTGCACCTGGACTGAGGTTGGACTCCAATTACCTATGCATGAATTGAGCAGCGCTTCCCTAAATATTCCCTCAGCAATTTAACAAGTTACAGGAGTTTAATGGGACTGCACCATCCCCACTTGCCTGGTTTGCGCATTTTTGGAACTTTGTTGGTAGAGTTGCCACTTTCCAATTATTTAGGGCTGTAATTTCCCATTTGCTGTTCCAAGGTCAGGGTGTCTGCGTCATCAAAAACTTGAACTGTACAGTGGTACCTCTACTTACGAACGTTTCTTCATACAAAATGTTCGAGTTACAAAACGCCTCAACAGGAAAATATTACTTTCTTGTTGCAAAAGAAATTTCAAGATGCGAAAGGTAAAAATACAGTATGGGCCACTATTCGCAGCTCCGAGTTTCCTGAACGCAATACCTGTATACTTATAGCTGCTCTGCCATTGGCTATTACCTAGCATCCTCCTGGCATCCCATTGGTTAAGAGGGACTTCTACCGTATGTGTGTAGATAGATAGATATTTGTCGATACTGCGACCTCGTCGTTTGCCCCTCGGGCCATGAGGTGTTCCGATAGTGTTACGTAAATGTGAATTACCCAGAAAAAGTGATCTCTCACGATGCTGATGTTTCCCTTGGACATTTTCGAAGGATTGTTAAAAGCCGACAAAAGCAAACCTCCTTGGATCGGTTCGTGACAAAATGCCAGGCAAAAACCACTTCTGAGATAGAACATGAACTAAAGAGGGTTAAATGACCATGATTTTTATTCTTTATTCCTTCTGAGATAGAACATGAACTAAAGAGGGTTAAATTATTATTATCTTGTGTTATTCTTTATTCTCTGTTTTTTACATTATGCACAACTCTCATTTATTGTGCAATAATCTAATTGTAACGTACAGTATATATTTTTTACATATTTTGATGCATTTTATGCTTCATAAAACATTTGTCTGAACTTTGGGGAATTTTTATGCTTCATAAAACATTTATGTCTGAATTTAGGGGTGTCTTGGAACAAATTAGGGCATTTACATCGAAAACGTGTCTCTATTTACAAAACGTTCGAGTTAAGAATTATCTTCCAGAACCAATTAATTTTGTAAGTAAAAGTACCACTGCACAAGCCATTTGCACAGGAAAATTTGAACAAGTGCACAAATCAGTTAACTGCTGTATCGTAAAAATAAAATGAAACAAAATTCTTTAGTCAGTGATTAGACATGAAAAAATGTGATGAAGGCGAGCTACTTCATGCATCAATGTTTTTAGCATTCTTAACCCTTTCATGCACCCTGTAACCTGATAACATGATCAGCTGTCCACTGTACTAACCGCTGTCGCTGAAATGTCCCCCAAAGTGAGGATTTGTGCGCTTGCCTGGAACATCGACTCGTATTATCTCTTACTTCCGTCGTAAGTTTCACTACTTGTTCAGTTTTTAAATGATATAACCCGAGCATCTGAGTTTTGAGGCTCCACTGTCATCCATTTTGGAGCCTTGCTATTCTGAATTCAAATTGATGCGGCACGTAGAACGTAAAGACTTTAACTTGTGTGGCGGCGCTAAGTGGGGAGCAGAAGTCTTAATTAATGTCCTCACTTTCCATCGCTGTCACGTTGGAACGACGGTTCAGCCTGTGGAGCGGCAACAACAATGCCTTGGCTGAACTGCCAAAGTCTTTGCCGGGCAGATGTTCCCATTCAGCTGTCACTTTTCATGAATAAATCACTTGCAGCTTTTAGTTCATTTTGTAACAGAAACACAGAAACATGCATGAGGTTTTGGATTTAAGGGTTTGCAAGTGGGAAAATATGAAGAATTACCAAACCAAAAAAAAAAAAAAAAAAAGCTTCTTTCTCCAACTGAGAGGAAAAATGAAATACATTTTCAATTTCTGACTGTGCAGCACCAGTTTTTACACTTTGGGAGAGTTGTCTTTTTTTTTTTTTGTCCCTAACTTGCTCGCCCATTAATAAATCAGGCGGAAATTTTGCCCCAAGGATGTGGCAGTGTGATAAAAACATTGTGGAATGGAAATACTTTCATCTTTTTTTTTTTTTACATGGGAGACAAAGGCGTTATCGCAGGCTGCGGCTGCTCGCGACTTTGGCTGCTGAACTTTTACGCAGGCCGAAGTTAAGTTAAAGCTTGCACGCTTTGAAAAGGGTTGCAGGGGAGTCATTCGTTTTCAAAGCGAGCCTGAATTCAACTTGTGCCAGAGAGCTTATGTGTTTATGTGCACCTCCAGCGTCTCTCATCATATCATACCCGGCAGACCACCTCTATAAAATCTCAGAAAACCCCAATCAATTTTTCTCTCAGAATCCTAATAAATGCTCATTATGTCTGTAAATAGTTCACACAACGTGGCATTCGTGTGGCAAGTCGGCTCCAAATGCAGCACAAATCAATCACAAGACTCCAACCATGTTCAGGAATGATGCGATGTCATCCCTTCATGGTCACACCAATGTTACCTTCTAACAAAAGCGACGAAGAACAAATAGACTTCAAATGAAGACCTTAGTCGCTCTGAGGCTTCGCTGGCAATTTTTCATCAAGATATATTTGCCGCTCTGCCCTATAGACGCACCACATTTGGCAGAGAGGTCCATCCTTCATGGCTGAAAGCTTTGATGAAATTCTCCTCTCGCGTATTTCGGATGCAGAAGTGCACACCGACCCGCCGTCAGACCTCAATCTAATACTTCCACGGACTCGTAAGGTTTTAAAGAATTGATGGAGTCAGTGGGGGCAGGGTCCGATCAAACGACTGTTCGGGTTTCCTACTCTCCTGATCAACTCAGGCCGTGTCTGCCCCGCCTGCACTCATTTCCCAAGAACTGTCGGTGCCGAATCCAGCCTTCGTTTTAATGAAGCCGTGCTGAGTGTTATTGGGGAGAGTGGAGCACTGGAGCAGACACCTTCCTGTGATGTTCACATTTCATATCAGCCTCTGCCCAGGAGCTTGCCGTTTTTAAATTATTAAGCAGAGGCTTTCTTTCTTTTCCTTATTATTAGGTTTTTTTATAAAATTATTATTTCTGTCTGTTCTCTATGCTTTACTCTCTTTGGCTGAAGCCGTGGCTCTTGCTCAGATGCAAATGGATGCCTTTGAAGGGGCACGCTGGGAATGTCAATTAATCCTGACGCTTACTTGGTAGCGCGACCATTGTTCGTTGGCTTTTTCATCACTGCTGTGCCACAGGGCAGCTTTTTTTTTTTTTTTTTGTCTTGGCTGTTCTTCATGCCGCCAGTTTGAAGATACTCCTCAAAGATTTAGCATACATCAGGACAGGCACATAGGAAAAGAAGTGACAGGAAGATGATGCATCACAGTAACAGGTGGTTGTCATATTTCTTTCCCCGGGTCCTGACATTCATTTTTAACAGTTCTGAGTGTCACTGTAGTCCAAATTGTCACCTTTTTTTGCCCGTTCTAGCCCCAAGACCATTCTCCAACCTCTCTTTGAAATTACCCGTCACTGTTTCACAATAATAACTTTTTGTCTTTTGGGTTGTTGGCTTTCAGATCTCCACACGCCAAGTCCCTGTTTGGATAAGGTGTGCCACCACGGCGCATTGTGCGTGGTCAAAAACGATGAGCCCGTGTGTGAATGTCTGGAAGCCTGCCCTCAAACATCAGACCCCGTGTGCGGTTCTGACGGCAGCAGTTACGGCAGCCCCTGTGAGATGCGAGCGATGGGCTGTGCTCTCCAAAAAGCGATCCACATCCAGCATAAAGGGCCCTGCGGTGAGTGTCTGCATATTAAAATGATAGAAACGAAACACATGCCAGGACCTCATTTAGAGACTCAGAGAATCATACATCATGCTGTCACTTTGCAGAAAATAATTTTGTCGCATTTTGTCCAAGTATGGACTAGAGGTAGTCAATTGATGTACTATACTATTTTTGGCTCTCTGACATTCCAAAAGGGTGTCAGAAATGCAAAAAAATATATACAGTCAAACCTCGGTTTTCGAACGTCTCGGTTCTCGACCAATTCGGTTTTCGACCAAAAATTTCGAGTTTTTTATGCCTCGGATGACGAACAAATTTCGGTTCTCGAACAAACTGAGTGCACTTGAATGCACCATTTGACTCCACTCGCCTTCCTTACACGAGGAAGTGACGCTTCCTCGGGTAGACGAGGAAGTGACGCTTCCTCGTGTTGCTTTCCATTGTGAGCAGACGTGTTCAATAAACATTTTTATTTTAAAAAGAGCGTGGTTTCGGTTTTCGAACAATTTCGGTTTTCGAACAGCCTTCTGGAACGGATTATGGACGAAAACCGAGGTTTGACTGTACATAGTAATGAGACGGCAGAACTGGTATAACTTTTTTCAAAAGCTTACCTAGCAATTCAGTGCAATCAAATGTCAGGTAAAACATTACCTGTACAATAACGAAGGGCTGTTGGTGGCGTACTGGTTCACATATAGCAGACTTTCTGTGCAGTTGAGGTGGTATCAAGATCAAAGGTCAAGGTCAAGGTCATCTTTATTGTGAAATGCTTTATGTATAACATGCAGCACAGATGATATCAGGTCACACTCACTCACCAATTCAAAATTGCCCAGTGATGGAAAGCTGACAGTCTCGGGTTCATTACTACACTGCTTCTCCTATGTAAATAGATAAAAGGAAGATGATTTTATTTCAAACTAGAAGTGCAACGATTCATCAACAATGAATCGAAACTAAAATTAATCAACAGTTTTTTTTTCATAATGGATTAATTGTTTCGATACCGTTTTGAATTTAACCCTTTCATGCATCCTGCAACCTGATCACATGATAAGCTGTCCACTGTCGTAACCGCTGTCCCTCAAAGGGTTAAAAAGGTCCAAATCCTCGGAACTTTAGCTTCTCAACAGTAAATGCCGTATTTGTGTTCTCCTCCATGAAAGCAGACACAGTATCTTTGTGTTGAATCAAAATAAAAAATGTTTTGCTTTTACTAAACCAGGAACAGAATCACAATTACTTTTCATCGGTGCATTTTCTGCACTGTTTGTAAATAAAGGGATTTAAACATGTTTTGTTCATCCAGTTCATCGATTAATCGGTCATCAGTTCTTAGAATAATTGTAAATTTCAGCCCTCTTTCAAACTAACCGAACCATACCAAACAACACCAAGCAGCAATGTCAACAACATCACATCACAACAACAAAACACACCTACAAACACAACAACAGCCTCGGTTCAACATATTTTTGCCACTGCATGCTGACTGACACTTAGACGTAAATGATTTCCTCCGACTCTACAGTCAGATCATGTTGCATTACAACGTCCTGTTTCACAGGTATGGGATCAATCGCAAAGAAAAAAAAACACTCTCTTCTTTAACACAAACTCTTGACTCTCTGTGACTTTCTGTCGGCTTAATTCGTTCTCTGACCTTTAAGTGTCGTGTTGCACTTTAGTCCCAGTCAAAGAGAACACAGAGCATACTTGTGTGTAATTGGCTACATGAGTCATTTGGCATTATCTGGCTGCGGTGGCGCATCAGCTCATCATTAGCACACGGGGGACAATGGAGTTTCAAGTTGAGCAAATATCTACAGATCCACTTTGCAGACACACAGTCCCAAGAAGAGATTTACAGCTTGTTAAAGCCACTCACTGAATACTCTCGATGCCATCTTGGCAGGCCAATTATCCCACAGGCTGCACTGGTGATTGAGTAGGATTAATTGTTTCGATACCGTTTTGAATTTAACCCTTTCATGCATCCTGCAACCTGATCACATGATAAGCTGTCCACTGTCGTAACCGCTGTCCCTCAAAGGGTTAAAAAGGTCCAAATCCTCGGAACTTTAGCTTCTCAACAGTAAATGCCGTATTTGTGTTCTCCTCCATGAAAGCAGACACAGTATCTTTGTGTTGAATCAAAATAAAAAATGTTTTGCTTTTACTAAACCAGGAACAGAATCACAATTACTTTTCATCGGTGCATTTTCTGCACTGTTTGTAAATAAAGGGATTTAAACATGTTTTGTTCATCCAGTTCATCGATTAATCGGTCATCAGTTCTTAGAATAATTGTAAATTTCAGCCCTCTTTCAAACTAACCGAACCATACCAAACAACACCAAGCAGCAATGTCAACAACATCACATCACAACAACAAAACACACCTACAAACACAACAACAGCCTCGGTTCAACATATTTTTGCCACTGCATGCTGACTGACACTTAGACGTAAATGATTTCCTCCGACTCTACAGTCAGATCATGTTGCATTACAACGTCCTGTTTCACAGGTATGGGATCAATCGCAAAGAAAAAAAAACACTCTCTTCTTTAACACAAACTCTTGACTCTCTGTGACTTTCTGTCGGCTTAATTCGTTCTCTGACCTTTAAGTGTCGTGTTGCACTTTAGTCCCAGTCAAAGAGAACACAGAGCATACTTGTGTGTAATTGGCTACATGAGTCATTTGGCATTATCTGGCTGCGGTGGCGCATCAGCTCATCATTAGCACACGGGGGACAATGGAGTTTCAAGTTGAGCAAATATCTACAGATCCACTTTGCAGACACACAGTCCCAAGAAGAGATTTACAGCTTGTTAAAGCCACTCACTGAATACTCTCGATGCCATCTTGGCAGGCCAATTATCCCACAGGCTGCACTGGTGATTGAGTATTTTCTTTCTTCTTCTTCCTTCCTTTTTTTTTTTTTTTTTTTTTTAACCTCTCAATTCACGCACACGGAGCTAAAGTACAGCAGTTATCGTGCGCCGCAATGCAGCCCCTTCCTACAATCCCCCTCGCTCAATATCCCGTTCACAGCCTTTTATTCGGATGGAAATTCTGGCGTGGCGTTTGCACGTTCTCCCCGTGCCAGCGTGGGTTTTCTCCGGGTGCTCCGGTTTCCTCCCACATTCCAAAAACATGCATGGCGGGTTTAATGGAACACTCTAAATTGTCCCTAGGTGTGACTGTGAGCGCAAATGATTGTTCGTCTCTGTGTGCCCTGCGATTGGTTGGCGAGCAGTTCAGGGTGTCCCCCGCCTACTGCCCGAAGACGGCTGGGATTGGCTCCGGCACACCCCGCGACCCTTGTGAGGATAAGCGGATTGGAAAATGGATGGATGGATGGATGGATGGATGGATGGATGGATAATTTGAAAAGCATATAGTGAATATAGAATATAGAATACGACTGCAAATACAGGAGGATCAATACAGGAGGATTATTGTCACTTTTCAAGTGTGTCACGGCATTCACCATGAATTTGGAACCGCTTTGTGCGATTACACGACTGCTTGTTTTGCAACATGAGAAGAGGTTTGATGTTTTCCCTGCACTGAGTCTGTAAAATAGGGATTTTGTTGTTGAGGTGGAACATGGATTACTCCCTCCATGCCTATGGTGAGCATCAGTCATATTCCATTGATGGCTCTCTATAAATTGAAACTTATGTCTCTGGTGTCATGGCAACAAGAAATGAAACGAGCACTCACAGATTGGTGCCACGCCACAGGTAAACGGCATGCGTCGGCACTCAATGAAGCAATGAACAATTGTTTATTCGACAAAGCAATAGTCCAGGGAGACATCCAGCCCAAGTGGATGGTTGGTTTGCTTTTTGACAGTACGGCCATAAAACAATGCCGAGCCATTGGTTTGCCTGGAATTAGCCATCTGCGGAACGATGGCCGTGAGCATATGAGTTATTTTTGGGCTGTTTGCACAGCTTCCTTCAGGACAGTCACTAGTGATTCCCTGTAATCCCCGTAAAGGCTATTTCCTTTACTAACGGTGGGGCAGAAAGGGAGAAGCGGAATGAAACAGACAGTGGAATGTCGGTTTACAAGCAATCTTGTTGAAGAACAATTTTTGAATACAATTTTGTAAAATACACTCGATTCACACGCTATTTTTGGTTCGCCAACTGCATAGCCTCGCTTGTGCTTTTTTTTTCACAGCACATACGGTAAATGTGTCACACATTGCAGGTATCTTTTTTTTTTTTCTCGAAATGAGCCCTCAGTATGACTCTCAATAAATTGGAAAAAAATTGCTGGAAATCGTGTTCTCAGGGAGTCGACATGTGGTAATGTCGGTGATCATGCTGCACAGTGGGGTTTTGCTAAATCTGCCATCTGAATTGTGCAGGTGAGAATAATAAAGCCAGAAATACATTTCTATATAGTGCTTTTCTTGACACTTACAGATGCATGCAAACAAAGCAACAAGTTAAAAAATAAATAAATAAAATTGAGCACTTGATGCATGCAGCAGGAGCAGTGACACAAAGGAGTCATTACTCCACGGCAGGAGAAGCTGCTAGTGACGACTAGCTAGTGACAGCTAACTAGCAGGCTCATGTTTACCACATTGGGAATGTCTACATCGGTTTTACTTTTGGCAACGGTCCGAGAGCTTGCTTGTGATAGTGTGTTTGTATGTGTGTGTGCATTTTTAGACTCGAGTATGATTGTATTTCCAACCCCGAGGGCTGTAAACCAAAAAAAAAAATAAAAAATCGTTATATGCATGAGTCGGGTGCAACCTGACATCTGTTATTATTCGAAAGATCTCAACTCACCAATTGTCCTTTAAATCCAGTTCCCTCTGGCATTTTTAATGGTGGGTGACCCCCCAACTTGTCTCGGAGGGCTGGGATAGGCATGCTTGGTTAATAGACACCTCAGCTGGATATAACATCGACCTCAGGATCGGGGTCGTTCATATGGCTTTAGCCAAACAGATGTCAGAATAGGAAAAAAATAACAACCTGCGCCGCACCAGATTTTTCACCCTCCCGCTGGTTTTAGAAATGATACACACAATAGAAGGCGCTATATAGGTCGCACTAACAGCATGAGGAAACAGGATGAGGGATAAATAATCAGGAGGAGCAAACCACATGGGGAATAATAGGTATGCTTTGTGAATAGGTAGGGATTATTTTACGTCTCTCACATGGAAACATGTAGACAAAGAAATAAACACAAATTATGTTCATGGTCAAACCTCGGCAGAGATCTTACATTCCAGTTGTAAAATAATATTGGCTCTAAGACTCACCAATGGAGTTCAATCCATGATGGATTCAAGGCCACTTTTTTCCACCAACCCATCCAAAACGTAAACACTTTGCCACCATCCATCCATCCATTTTCTGAGCCGCTTCATCCTTACGAGTGTCGCGGGGGCTGCTGGAGCCTATCCCAGCCGTCATCAGGCAGTAGGCGGGGGACACCCTGAACCGGTTGCCAGCCAATCGCAGGGCACACAGAGACAAGCAACCATCCACTCTCACACTCACACCTAGGGACAATTTAGAGTGTTCAATCAGCCTGCCATGCATGTGTTTGGAATTTGGGAGGTAACCGGAGTACCCGGAGAAAACCCACACAGGCCCGGGGACAACATGCAACCTCCACACAGGGAGGCCGGAGCTGGAATTGAACCCGGTACCTCTGCACTGGGAGGTCGATGCGCGAACCACTGGACCACCGGGCCGCCACTTTGCCACCAAAAGAGAAAAAAAAGAATAAATCAGAGTGAGATAAGTAATATCAGAGGTTTCCACTCGAGGCCCAGCGACTTTCAAGGGCACCTTGATGAACTGTCGGGGTTATTGAAGGAAATGAGCATTATGGGGACACCTGCGTTAAACCCAGCATGAAAATTACAGATGCCATCATGGGTTCTTGTTTTGTACCATTAAACCCAGCATCGGTGTATGTTGCTGTTGTATTCGGAAGCCGATTCAAATCTACACGCAGCAGTTAAATGTAATCGTAATCAAAACTCAAGATGCTCAAAATGTCTGTTCATGGACAATAGGAATAGATACACAAATATCAAAATGTTAGCTGATAATGTGTCTTGAAGGCAGTTCACCTTTTTTCCAAAGCTTCTCTAGCTCCATTTGTATTGCCCAGTCGTGATGTGTGGGCCGTGAAAGAGATTCGGTTCCCGATTGGGAGCCACTTTTGTCATTCACTGCAAAGAGTGCATACATTGGTCATTATGTATGCCGTTGTCTCTTGCTGTGCGGAGCATAGGGATGGGGGCGTGGGGGGCGTTAGAAGCAGGAATAGTCACGAAAAAAGGATAGTTAAGAAAATGAGTCACAGCAGGAAAAGGATAATGCAAAGGCAGAGTGTAGTGTCTACTTGGGAAAACAAATTGATATTAATGAAGGTGGTAGAGTGCCTCATGCAACTGTTGCTGCTCAAGATGGAGCCAGATGCTCAAGCCGGATGGCTCGATGGTTCTCTGGAGCAGACACAAACGTTTACACACTCGCAAATTGTTCGGAGTGATGCCGTGGATACGACAAAACTTTGACAGCTCCGTTGTCAGTGAAATTGAACATCTATAACACACATACAACACCATTATACCGTGATCGTTTTGACTTTTCAGCTGCTCAGAATGAGCGACAACAGTGTCCAACTATCCATCATGATTGTTTGGTTGGCTTGTGTCAGGCTATCATCAACAAGCAGCCTCTGGGACAATCTATTTAAAATGCTCTTGTCGTGCCGAGAAAATTCAACACTCTTTCCATTTTCGGAGTTTGAGGTTATTTATAGAGCCCAATTGGTTGCAAATGTCTTCAGTGATGCCAGCCCTGCTCTTAGGAATTTTTTGGATTTGTTTTTGGTTTTTTTTTTCTTCATCCTTGTCCTCAGATCTGAATCTCAATAGAGCTACATCTGTGAAGTATTTTTTTTTTCATTCTTACTTGTTTTATTTGGAAAGTTCTTGTTCAAATGAACACAACTTGCCTCAGGTAGACTCCGGTTGCATGTTACTATCAATGTGGAAACTCTGAATTTCTGTTTTCTTCATTCGTTGTTACTGCTTTGCTGCAAAGACATCACACCCTTTCTACCCCCCAATTTTGCTGCTGTAGACTGTAAATTTCCCCAGTGTGGGACAAATAAACGAGATCTTATCTTATCTTATTAAAAATGTTCCTGCCATGCACTTATTTGATCTTCTTTCCTTGTAGATGAGGCCTGTGCCAACTGCTCTTTCGGGGCAATCTGCGACGCCCAAAGTGCACAATGTGTTTGTGCGACAGAGTGTGTGGAGTCCCACCAGCCCGTATGCGGTAGCGATGGCACGACCTACACCAGCGAGTGCGAGCTACATGTGCGGGCCTGCAAAAAACAGATGGACTTGCGAGTGGTCAGCCAGGGAGAGTGCAGTAAGTAGTGCATCCTTTTTACTCATTGTAACGAGCTGAGAACTGTTGTGTATGAATCCTGAAAGGAGAAAAAAAAAAATTTCCAGATTGAATGAACAGTCCAGTAGGTACAATATGTTTATCATCAAAAAATATTAAAAGGTTTTCTGCGTGCCCTGGAAAACTCTTCGTAATGGTTGGTTTCGCAAATATAGTGCGTCTCTATTCTCTTGTCAGCCAGGGAGAGTGCAGTAAGTAGTGCATCCTTTTTACTCATTGTATCAAGCTGAGAACTGTTGTGTATGAATCCTGAAGGGAGAAAAAAACATTTCCAGATTGAATGAACAGGCCAGTGGGTACAATATGTTTATCATCAAAAAATATTAAAAGGTTCTCTGGATGCCCTGGAAAACTCTTCGTAATGGTGGGTTTCGCAAATATAGTGCGTCTCTATTCTCTCATGTGTTTTTTCAGAAACTTGTGGCAACACTGTGTGTGCCTGGGGCGCCCGCTGCGTCCAAAGTAAATGCGAGTGCCCACCGTGCTCCGGTGAAGCGTTTTCCCCGGTGTGTGGAAGTGACGGCACCACCTACGAGAACGAGTGTGAACTCCGCCTGTCCTCGTGCGTGCAGAAGAAGAGAGTCGAAGTGGCGAAGGCCGGCAGTTGCGACCAAGGTAGGAAATGGACTTTGAAATAGCGTAATGATGTTAACCAATCGGCCGTTGAAGTTGTGTAATCATCTTAATCGGCTGACCTGACGTACAGTATTCAGTCATCTGTGCTTTTTTTTTTTTTTTGCTAATGGGCACACGTGCCACCCGCCGCATGCTAATGAACTGGAGTAGAAAGAATGATCTGGAACTGTGTGGTCATAAATAAAGCCTATCATGGGGAATGGCAATTAGTTCTGGCTGCTAAAAGATAGGTTAGTTGGACATTTATAAATAAGTTTGTCACACTTGGATTCTTTTGTTGTGTCAAACCTGTGATTCCAGCGCCATGCTGGTTTGCCTCTAAAAGTACATCGAAACGGAAGAAATAGGAGCCCAATCCCTCAATCAAAAAAACTAAATGTTAGTTCAGTGTCCCGAATTAGCTCGTATTTTTCTCAACTGCAAGACAAAAAAAAGAATATAATTGTGACCTTGGCGTCGACGCAAATAACTGACATTGCTCTGTCATCCCTGCTCACTGCCACTGGCAGACTTTCTAGGCTAGCTGTGTATTTATGTGATGAAATACAAGACTCAGATTTTATTTTTATTTCTTTTCGCAGTTTTGCGAATCAGTGACTTCATAGGAGGGACAACTGTCTAATTTTGTGGAGGATTGGACAGTACTTTAGCTGAAATGTTTGTACTGCAGCACTTTATGTATGCTTTTATATGTGTGTGGGTGTTCTGTTTTAATGCTGCTCCTTATGCCTTAACTTATGTTTAGTGTTTTGTGTATAATAGATTTTATTGTCAACAAACGGGCCTATTTTAAAGTATTTTCACTGCAGCTTATAAGGCGCGTTCTTTTCGTGAAGCATATATGTTAAATAGTTCCTTCGAACTGTACCGTATGTTTATTTGTTAGATTTAGTGCGATTATGCTAGGTTCAGACCGGACACGAAACGCCACGTATCTCACTTGCTTTTGTTCTCTGTGTAATTACACGGGGGTTGCTTCAAGCGGAGTAGAGAAGGGGATCCTCTGACATATGAAAAAAAACAAAATTTTAACATCACTTGTCAATCTGGTGACTGATGGTTGCGTTCTTACTGTCGCTAATGCTAAATACTCTTTGGGTTGACGGTTCAGCAGCTGAAAACAAGTCAACGCACTCACCATTACCGGACCTTTTTTTGCTCGGGCACGGTAGCAATTGAAAGCTGGCTGTGTCGTTTACGGTCCCACATTGTAACATTGGAAAAGCGCAGCCAGAAACTCTCAGACTGACTTATTATCGAAGCTCTACTATACAGTTACTCTTTCCCAGTACGTTTTACAGAGTTCTCAAGGCTGTAGGACAGTCAGTCATTCTCATGTAGTGTTATATTTTCAATGAATTAGATCTAATTCAGTGAGCAAATCATATCTGGATCAGCACTGACAGAGCCAGGCAGCGATATCACATTCCCTTCCTCGAGCGTGACTCTGCAGGGAGCGACGAGCTGTCCTCTGGCTGTCACGCAGATGGTGCTACGCCGTTCCTCTTGTGGCTCGTGGGTGATCACAGCAAGCAGACAACGTGCGAAGGGGAGCAGATTACTCCTGCCAACGGGAGGGCTGGGAGGTAGCTGCAGAGAAGAAAAGAGGGGGCAGGTGGAGGATGGTGCAAATAGACACGAGATGAATCCACTTCCATTCTACAGATTGCCATGGGTGTTTCTTTTCTTTGCTTTTTTTTCCGCACTCTTTCTCCGACACCCTCAGTTCCTTCATTGCCATTGTCTACCACATTGGCCGGGGGCCTATGAGGCGACTCATGGTGCCAAAGCCTCTTGTGGTAGATTTAACATCAGTTCATTGACTGAGAGTGACCTTTTTTTGTATATAGAGCATGAAGAAATGCACAAGTCTGTGTGTGTGTGTGAGTCAGGTGACTGGTCGCAGGTGCGCAAAAGATTCTCGCTACGATGTGTGCCTCCATTTTGGCATGAGCGCCGAAACTTCACGAGCTGAGCCAGCTGATGCTGCTGTATGAAAAAAATAAATAAAAATCACGAGGTCATCAAGACGTCATTTCTTCAGCGACATGCCAAACATTGCAATCATATCGATATTGTAACACTCGCACCACATCTCACAGCTTCCCCAATGTTTCCCCATCAAAGAGGCACGTGTGACTTTGGGCCAACCGACGACACAAATATTATGCCAATAAACCGGCTCCGTGACTTTGTTGTGAGATTCCGTTGCCATGGTGATGCCAAGGCGGCATCAACAGGCGTTAAAGACTACGATGGCGCCCGTCGTTCCCATTTAGATCGCAAAATCCTCTCGCCATCTTCCTTTTGTGTCTGCGCCACTTTTTGGGATGTTGTGTCTCTGCAGTGAGTGTGCGTGTGTGAAGGGGGACACGCACAGGAAGTGAGGTGTGTGCGTGTGTGAGAGAGAGTGTGAGGGGAGGTGCCATGCCGGATGTCGTGTGTGTGTGTGTGTGTGTGTGTGTGTGTGTGTGTGTGTGTGTGTGTGTGTGTGTGTCTGTCCGTCCCTAGACACACACTTCACACTCTGGCATTCATCTTCTCCATCCACATTGTCTGATAGTGGACCTGCATCAGGCAGACAAACCTTTGCCTCCCCCCCGAGGGTCTCCACACTAGGTCGTGCTGCCTGATGGTTTAATTTTTCTATTTCATTCTACGCCTAGTTCATACTGTCCCCGAGCATCCTCCACTTTTCATCACTTGCTCATTTTCATTCAGAGCCTTACACAATAGAATCTTGTCTCTTTTTTGTGTTCGCTCACCGTCGCTGCCTGCCTTGTCGCCCACTCTAGTCCCTCTCCATTTTGCACTATTTTCTTAAAAAAAAAAAAAAAAATCAGACCCCTTGGAAAGAAAAATGGTACAGACAGCACTTGAATTGGCTGTGATCGATAAGGTTCTACAGGGAGACGCATGAGGCCTGACTTTTTTGTTTGCTCTTTCAAACCTATCTGTTCCCTTTCAAATCCTCCTTCAAAAACTTGTTTTTTCTTCTGTGTTTACAGTATGTATTATTCAGTGCTAAATTGGGGCAAGTATCCCCATTTAAAAAGAGAAGTATTATCATTTCACATAGTAATTTGATAGACTGGGATTTTTTGTTAGGTTTATTTTCTTCAGTCAGTTGTTTTTTCCAGTAAAGAGAAAAAGCTCTTACGTTGCTGACAGTTTCAGCGGCAGCCTTCATCAATTCATCAAAAACAAGACAAAGCTCTTCCATGGGATTCTTGTGTTCAGACCCATTATGTATTTATTGGTGTAAAGAGAAGGTCTCTTACCTTGAAAACAGTTTCGGCGATCATCATTTTTGCTGCTCACCAAGAATCATGACGGCCACTGAGTAGATTTGTCCCAAAACAGGTCGGGGTTAGGAACACCGAAATGGCTGTAAATCAAAACAAACATCTCTTATCCTAAATCTCGTGTGTGTGTGTGTGTGTGTGTGTGTGTGTGTGTGTGTTTCCAGTGGGTTCCCCAGACAGCAACAAGTACAGTATTTTCCACAGCAAGTCGCCACAGAGATGATCACCCGCATATCAGACACCTTTTTTCTTCTTAGTTTATGTGACGCTGTGTGAGAGGTCTTAGTCTCACATTAGGCTGCAGTTGGCTTGCTCGCAGGCTGTATTTCGGAGCTGTCACCACTTCCTGATGTCAGACCTGTGAAAAACCGCATGCACAGTCAAGGGCTGAAGGTTGAAACAAGGGCTAGGGCAGGGGTCGGGAACCTATGGCTCGCGAGCCATATATGGCTCTTTTGATGATTGCATCTGGCTCGCAGATAAAAAAAAATATTCTCGTTTGTTTATTAATGCATCCATCGATGGATTTTTCACTGCTTATTTCCTGTTTGGGCTGCAGTTGGCTCCAGGAGCCATTTTGATTGGATGATACTGGCCAACGTTGCCGTTGCTGTGGAAACAGGTATACGCCCCCTTTTGAATCAACCCGCTCGGCCATTAGCTCAAAGCTAATCCTTAGCGAATAAGATGGCGAAAAGAAAAAAAGATGACGAGTTTGGTAGACTTCAGGACGAATGGACCGAAGGATTCGCCTTTGTGGAGAGAACGGGTTCTGCGGTGTGTCTGATTTGCAATGTCAAAATACCATCTATGAAACGGTCGAATGCAGAGCGGCACTTTGACACGCCCCATGCGCCGTTCGCTTCAAAACACTGTGCGAGAGATAGCCGAAAGGAAGCGAGCAAGCTACTGAGCAGTGTGCAAGCTAGCCAGCAGTAACTTCGCGTATGGACCCGGCAAGATGACTTTCATTCCGATAGTTTTGCTGGATTTTTAGCAATCGTGAGGAACGGAAAACCATTCACATTAATGGTCAGTATTATAACAAAATTATTTTAAAAAATACATTCAGAGGCTTATTATACTGACATTTTGGTGAAATCACTTTTAAAATAGTTATATATATATATAAAATGTATGTATGTATACATACACATATATGGCTCTCACTGAAATACATTTCCAAATATTTTGCTTTTATGGCTCTCTTAGTCAAAAAGGTTCCCGACCCCTGGGCTAGGGGGTAGAAATGGAATTCGCCCTAAAAATATTGGTGGCATGAATATTGTGCTTAATGGTAGGTAGGTTCTGTCGGTACCTAAGTCTTCCGTTATTACTGTAAATACACCATCCAGCTAAAATATCACTTTCACAAAACACCAGTGGCTGTTTGGGTCAAAATGAAGCCCCCCTCACCTCCCCCAAAAAAGACAGTCCCGTTGTCTTATTAGGTCCGTTGCATGCGAACATAGGAAAGTACATACACAACCTACTTGGTGCAGGTCTGAGTGCTACATAGTTGAAAACTTGTTGAAACACTGAATATAGCTGCTGGATGGGACTCGTCGGCAATTTCCTTTGCACTCGATCACAGAATAAAAGCCCGGGGACTATATTCACTCACTCTGCTGTAGACAACAGCCAAGCTCCTCATCTAAGACATATTTACCCACTTTTTATACTTCAAATTTGGGATAAGACCAGGGACGATGTTTTTTTTTTCTTTTCTTTTAAATACTCCTCTTTAGTCTTGCTTGACAGAACCAAGTGCGCCAAGCATAAATTGGCCCTTGTTTTCCCTCAGCTTTAATTTAGCAATAATGAAAAATGACAGTGTCCCCCTTTGTCCACCTTACAGGAGAATTTATCACCTGTTTAATTTCACACTTGGGTTAGCCTGGCTTTAACGTCTTTTCACCACTCAAGAAAAGTAGCAAGTGGGAGCGATGCATAACCTATGGTGGAGGGTGAACAGCGGTCGTTGCGTAAAATGCCAACGGAAGCCATTAACTGAAAATTCAGACAATGTTCTTAATGTCACACTATAACAATGCCATGATATCAAGCCCTATTTGAATAGTTGACAATAGCCTCACATGTGTCTAGCTAGCTGATACTGTATATGCTAGTCTCTAGTAGCACTTCAGTTCATTGTTAATTCTGAATTGAATTTATTGGAGCTATACAACAAACAATTCGAGGCATTCGCGTTTCACCGCTAAAGCGCGTGGTCCGAGTTTATCTTGGCCTTGACACAGTACACGTTAGACATGAACGGCCTGACTAATGTGGTCGAGCAGACATTGTCGCCCTCACACTGCCCTCTATTATTTCGTTGTCTATCGCTTCCACACTCTTGGAGACATTTTAGACAAAGACATCCTCTTCTATTATTGACATTGTCAAATGCTCAAAAATTATTTCTTTCTCCCATCCGTGTATTTTGTATGCTATTTATTTTCTCTCCCTCTCCTCACCACTGATTCTTAATCGAGCTCCCTTTGCTAAATAGATGGAGAGTTTCGACTCCATTGAGTAACAGTGACTGGATGGGCAGTGCAGAGAGCTGATGCAGTCATCTTGGCCGGGGACACATTAATTGAAAGGTTCTTCAGCTGCGTGGTGGGCACATCAGAGAGCAAAAGATAATTAGGAATCCCCGTTTGCTTTTCACTTTTCAATATTCCATTCCTGTGTCTTATCTCTTCTATTTATTTGTCTCGGAGAAGGAGGCTTGAGCGGAATACCAATTGGCTTCGTATGCATTTCTTTTTTACTGTGCACTGCTGAGCTTGCGTATGCCGGCGCAAGGGCAAGTAGACAACCCTGGAATGCCTCTGCTGTTATTCCATTCTCGTTCTGCTCATTTGACTTGTTATAGAATGTACCTGGGAGAATGTTGCAAAACTTGAGAATGTCACAAAATAGAAGGTCGAACTCGCATGATGGCTTTCGATATACAAGTAAGCTTATTTAGTTCATATCCTGACAGGACTTGGGTGTGCGTTTCTAGAAATGTCTGAGGATTTTGTGTGTATTCGATGAGCTACTCCTTGGCCAATGCGCCACCCCACCTGGAGCCTCATTTATCAGAGTTCTTAGAACAGGTCCTAAATTCGCTCACACGACTGAATTTTAGAGTGAGCATAAGTTAAAAAAAAAAAAATCTACATTCATCAAATGTGTGACACCTTGTCATGTGCACACCAGGAAGTAATCTGTGTTGATAAATCCCACCTGTTCCAAGTGCCACGCTCGCGCATGTCTAGCCTCATTTGCATTGAGAAATGCCTGCTATTGACCATATGTAGTAGCAGCAATCCCGTTAAGAAATCCAAAAACATGGCTAAGAGGGCAAAAAGAACCTGCGAGACCAGCAGGTAGCTTACATGGCCGTGCTGAGAAGTGGAAATATGCTGTTGACGAGCAGTTAGAGATGATGGAAGCATGATTGAATACAATCATTGAAAAAAATATATGTCATGACCCTCAAACATTAACAGGACGAGGACGAGGTATTTAGATCCTCGTATGGCAAGCTTAGGACATGCGACATCACAACTGTATGCGCGCAGCCAGCACGCCTCAGCTTCTTGTTTTAAGCACACATCCACTGAGCTTTTCTGTAGCTTGGATGAATCTTGCGTTAATTTCTCCAGGCCATGTAGCTCACCGATTATTTGTGCATCGATTGAATGAATGATTTCTATTTCACGTAGCAGAAATTGGTGTGCAATGGTGCTTTCGATGAATGCGTTTGGGAACACCTGGTTTCATTGTCTGGAAAGCCGTTCCATGTGTAGTTTCATTGTTCTCCCACAAAATAGGGCATATGCACACTTCCTGGTTTCTTGACAGTCAATTTGTAGTATTTTTGTCTAATATTGGTAACTGGGGCGGCCCGGTGGTCCAGTGGTTAGCGCGTCGACCTTACAGTGCAGAGGTTGTGGGTTTCATCACGGCTCCGGCCTTCCTGTGTGGAGTTTGTATGTTCTCTCCGGGCCTGCGTGGGTTTTCTCCGGGTACTCCGGTTTCCTCCCACATTCCAAAAACATGCATGGGAGGCTGATTGAACACTCTAAATTGTCCCGAAGTGTGACTCTGAATGTGAATGGTTCTTTGTCTCTGTGTGCCCTGCGATTGGCTGGCAACCGGTTGAGGGTGTCCCCCGCCTACTGCGCGAAGACAGCTGGGATAGGCTCCCCCCGCGACCCTTGTGAGGATAAAGCGGATCTAAAAATGGATGGATGGATATTGGTAACTGGATGTGTCCTACAAGTTACCAAAATACAGCTGTATAAAAGGTCATCTCGACAAACTGTGCATAGGCACCGTTTCATACCTCAATTACATTTTATTGCTGTATTGAACGCTTTTGGATGTTTCCCTTTTCTCTTTTGAGTAACAAATTTGTTTCAAATGAACTTTCTTTTTCCCCATGGGTGCTTGTCTTGCAAACTCTGCATCTGCTAGTCCCTCCAACTTTTCCAAGCTGCCTTGCTTTCACTCCCTGCCTTCACACACATTCACCTATTCTCCCTCAGGAGTTTTACTTGAGGTTTGTTGTTTCCCCTAAACAAGTCCCCAAACAATCCTGCAGCTTCTCTTTCTTTCCTCTTCGTTGCCGGTTTTAAGACTTGAATTTATCGCCGTGTGCTAAAGTTTATACAGCAGCTGCAACAGCACTTTTGTGATCCCACCGGTCGCGGTCATGGTCTGAATTATGGGGCGTTGTTCAACATATGGCCAACCTGAGCACCTCGTTGACTTATAGAAGTGAACCCATAAAATTTCTTCCAAGGTCATAGTGAAAGACCAACTGGGACAACTTTCTTAAGGGTCTTTGCAAGATTTAATTAGAAATTAAGAACTCAATTACCTCACTGTTGTATTTAGTTAAATTCTCATATCTGAAAGCAGACAGCCGAAAAGCACGCCTTTCCACCATTTTTTTTCCGCACAGTTGGAGGCCAAGCTTCTTTCTGTGGACTCGCTGAAATCAGTGACAAGGAGCTCGATTTGTTTAAAATTGATTTCCCTGCTAGAAAACGAATATTAATCCACTCCAGGGGGCTGAATTTAGGCTGTTAAGAAAATGTTTAATGACTGTACAGCTAATCTTGAAAGTATTAAAAGTAGGAGAAGTAGTACCGCCATTACTTTTGTTGAACCTAAGCTCAAGTACTTCCTCTGCCATAGTATCGTAAAAACCTTGGCAACATGAGTCTCACATTGGCCGCTGTCTCACCTGTGTGTTCCTGTGCAAATGAACTTCAGTCTATGATCGTTTTCTTGCAGACTGTGGCTCAGGAGGGTCGGGCTCCGGTGCGGAGAGCTGCGAACAGGACCGCTGTCGCATGTTTGGAGGCTCGTTGGACGAGGACGCCGAAGAAGACCGATGCGTGTGTGACTTCACTTGCCACACTGTGCCTCACATCGAGGTAATGATTGTTTCAGTTGATGAATCAGTTGTGAAACAAATTCATGACCCAGTCTCGGTCACATTTGCAAACCAGATAAAAAAATTAAAAAAAAAAACATCATCACCCATTTGTCAAATCGTTAGCAATATTAGGTGGTCAAGTGTAGTTTATTTAAATGTTAATGTTGTTTGAGCACTCATGAGCTTTCTGATACAAACACAAATTCTAATTATTCCAAATGAAAAATTATTACCATTTCACCGTGAGGATAAACGGTTTGGATCATGGATGGATGTTTTGGGGAGGGTTTTTTTCTGTAAATTTCAAAAAAAAAAAAAAAATTATAATTGTATATAATTTAACGCTCTCTGCTTTTAGATGGATAATCAACTTACTAGTGTGACACTGCAAGGACTTCATTCACGTACATAGCGTGCGATCAAAGTAGTTTATCATTCTGAAGATACCAGCTTGTTCCTGTTCGCAGCCTTGAAGATATGATACCAGCCTCAGGACGGCGCGCCCGTGACACATCCACAGCTGCAATCACAAAGCAACTGTCAGCATAACCCCTTCCAATTACCTAGGAATACATTGTGTACTTCCACACCGGTTAAGAAATTTTTGTATTAGGACACTCGCTAGGACAATGAAATGGGCTCGACGAGCGAAGTGGTTCCAGAGCTGTTGGGAGATTGTAATCGATTACACTCGTTCACTCACTTCGTGCACAAGTTAAAAGACAGCTCTGCTTGACTCCTAGTCTCTCTTGTGTTTTAAAGTTCATCTTGAGGGATTGATTGCCTGATAGACCTGACAAATGTTATTATAAACACAGACATCAATGTATTTGTGATTCATAAAAGATTGTGGATTTCTGTGTGTTTCACGTGTAGGTTTGTGGCTCAGATGGGAAAAGTTACAGCAATGAGTGCGAGCTGAAGAAGGCCAGATGTGAGAAACAAGAGCAGTTGACAGTTCAGCACCTGGGCTTGTGCGCAGGTCTGTGTATCCTCTCAATGCATCTCCAGCAGTCATTGTCATTGACATCCCACATCTCTCACTCTCTCATGTCATCCATTGATGGGGCAGGATTAGTAAAATGCCTACTATGCTGTATTTGGAATTGTGCCAATAGAACTGTGGTCTTGCGTAGTATTGTGGATTTGAAGTTGGGTATGTTTCATAATGTTACAGTAATTCACAGGCATTACGCATTACTCAAATATTGTTGGGAAAAAATGCATCATAATTTGGGATAAATGCTTCATAATTCGGTGAGTGGTGTTTATTTTGTTTTACTTTACAACCCCGTGGTGTGGTCAAGTTTGATGCACACAAATAAATCTAAATTGTTCCTCATCTTCTGTTTAAATATTAGCCCTGTGACACAACTTCCAAACATGAACCCTTCTATTTTTTACTTTTTGCAATTTTGTGGAAGAATTTTGAAAGTCGCTCCCATGAAAAGCTGATGATATACCACACTTCTGTTTGTCTGCACGGCCAATGGAAGTAACCATTTTCCAACCTGAATGATTTGCACTGACTCTCCTGCGTAGGCTGTACAGTGACTTTGGTTTCTGACTTGAGGATCAACACCCTCTCGTTGTCTGCAACTGCGTTAATGTGTTAGATTTGCCGGATCAGCGGCCCAACTGCATAGGTCGCCGTTGTCTTCTTTCCAAAGTTAAATTGAGTGCACCGTTTAACGTGTGTCTGGAAGCAGAGCAAAAGCCACTGAAGGGATTTCATGTGATCATTTCAGCCTGTTTGATTCCCCATGGGAATAAAAGAGAGTAAGATGGAGAGAGAGGGAAAATTGCCCATGTTTTCACACCCATCCTTGGAGATTGTTCTGCTTCCTAAGCTGGCCTCTTTGGGCTCTGACTGTGACGCTTTTCTTCCATCCGTGGATAATCAATGCCTTTTCCAAAGTACCCTCTATGGACTCTCCTCTCCCATTGGCCAAATGGTATCAAACTCAGATGTTGGGGAATTTCACTGGCCTTCGCATTAGCTGTGTTGAGAGAAACTTCAGTTAACCTCAACTACCAACGAAGCATCAAAACGTGCTTGGCAGAGCATTGAAAGCCGAGTTGTGTTTCGATATTCCAAAGAACTTTTTTTTTTTTTTTTTTTTGCAGAGAATGCCAAAGGCTGTAATCAGCTATATTTGCATTTTATTTCGATTCAACCTTGCAAGTCCGGGTCAAAGATTTCTGGAAAATTCAGTTGTTACGAGTTTTGTTTTCAAAGGAGGTCACTGTATAAGTACAATACAAACTCAAATGTCTGGATTTGTGCACTTGTGAAATCAAAGAAGATATTTGTAGAATACACCTCAATATATTTCATTCGGTATTGCTGTAGAAACAGTGAAAAGATGTTTTGCAATGTATTATTTAAAAAAAATTCAACCAAAATGAATCAGAATCAGTCCAGAACAAATAAACATGATGTACTGTACAAAAAGGTACAGGGAGCAATAATCAGAAGTTGGCAAAGATGAATTATTGCACCCAATGTATAAACTCGATAGAATAGTACAGTGAATTGTAATACTAGTCATGGCGTGTTGGTTCATATTATTTGTATCCTTATTTTCAGGTCTTACAGTGGTTCCGTTATTATTATCTTTATTTTATTACCAGTTATCTTATTTTTACACTTGTAAAATCTCACTTCACCAAATTTTACGGATGTGCTCAAACAGTTGTATCAAGATATTAGTTCTGCTCGACCTAATAGGCTCAGTAGAGATCGCGGAATTTAGCTGAGGAAACTGGCTAGTGAAATGAACTGTGACCACTGCCCATCCCTGGAGCTGGAAAGCACTGGAAAAGGTGCAAGGCCAGTCATCACCATTAGACTGAGGCTCATATTCACACCAGTAACCAGTGTGATTTATGACCCTCGTATCTTCAGCCCCCCGACTGTAAATGAGCAGCCAAGAAAAAGCGATTGAGAGGGAGAAAAGAGGGAGAGATTTCTATTTTCTGTCTGTACTATTTTATTTTGCTTGGGAAAAAAAAAATCAAAACTTGGCATGAATGATGAGATTTTGATTGATATTTTCACCTTGCCCGAAAACGAATGGTTTGGCTGTCTAAGACTTAGGTAGGCCACGCACTAGGAAAACCACAACACTCTCTTTTACTGTCTGATGTGCTTTCATTTTCCAATGGAAATGCTGTACTATCAATCACACAGACTGAAGAAAAAAAAAGTGGCTTTATTATAAGCTCATAGTAAGAAAATGGTTCCCCTCAAGCAGGTGCAGCGATGCACATCAACATCATTAGTTTGATTTTTTTTGCTGGTCACATTTTCACAGGCACTTGTTGCTCGGCACATTTCAACGACTGTAAATACTACAGACAACAAAACGTATTTCTAAATTTGTGGGATATAATAAAACGAATCCAGGACGGGTAACTCATGCCACACACTTGCTGCTTGGCAGAGGCCATACTTCTGGAGCAGAACTACCCCTTTGGCCAAAATTGCCATTCACTACCATAAGACATAAATGCTAAACGAGAGACTGGCGGCACACTGCTGGACACATGATGGGAAATACACGATCTTCATAAGAATAAGGATGAAAGGATGATGGATCATTTATTTCACACAATTGGATCGCTGCTTTGTGTTGTATCTGAAAACACTGGAAAACAAATGAATGAGTCTGGCTGGGGCAATTTTGGTCCGTTGAAGGCTACCGCGTCCTTAGACAAAGAAGTGCCATGCGAACTCAGCATAGAAGGAACCTGTCAGGCAATGCCACCGAAATATATGCAGCATGTCTGTCTCTTTGAGGATCCGGAGATGGCTAAAGGGCAGTATTTCCAATCCCGTTATATCTGACAGGAATAAATGAAGAGAACATGCCTGCAAGTAGGCAGTAAATGTCAGCTGCACTGTTTTTTTTGTTTTCACTGAAGGTAAAAGCATCATTCCCCCCTGATTTTGAGGCATTGTCAAGGAAACCGCAAATAGATTTTTTTTTTCCTGAAAACCGACCAGTAGCCCACCACTTTATACGTCTGCCCCTTGAGCCAATCTCATTGTTGCCAAAGAACGTATTGTACTAAAGTGATTGTGTTTCTGTGCCTTTCCGAAACATTTTTTTTTCTTCTTTAGCTCGCGGTGACATCCCTCATCTTCTTTTCCTTTTTGTTCCCTACCTCATATGTGATTTCAGCCACATCGCTGCCGGAGCCCGCCGAGTCCCAGCACTGCTCTCTGTCTGTGTACGGATGCTGTGCCGACAACTTCACAGCCGCCTTGGGAGTCGGACTGGCTGGTTGTCCGAGTGAGTCCTCCTCTATGTCGCATTATCACCCTTTGTCTTATGTTGCGTTCATATCGTAAAAACAATATTATGTCATTCGATCAAATTATATTTGTGAGCAGAATCGCGCAAAAAAAAAACTCTTGACCTATTCCGACTAAAGTTTGTGTAGGGATGGATTCCATTAGCTTGATTTGTCACTTAAGCTATCATTTGCGCTAACCTTTTGGTACCGCCGGTGCAGATAGGTCTGCACTTAGCTGAGTTTGAGTCACAAGAAGGTTCAAGTCACACTAACATTCTCAAATCTTCAAATTCAGGATTATTTATGCCTGTGTTCTGAAATCCTTGTCCTTGTCACATACAAACAAGAATGTTAGCTAGTCCTATTTTGGACTATTTTAAACACCTTCCTATTGCCCTTATAAGACTGCAGCTCTGCGCCTAAACACATACAGTGTAAAAATGTGGGAAGTAAACCGATGGATGGGGAGTTGTATTTTGCAGCCCCAACATCAGCTCTCCAAATGCTGGTGAGGTTCTTAAATGCTTTCTGTCCGGTACTAAAAAATGAATAAAAGGACTGCATGGAGCATTTCCGCGCTCGGTTTAAGGTGGCATGTTAACTTCCACATGTGTTGGTTGGCTCTCTTTGCCTTTTGAAAAGTAAAAACTCTTCCTGTCATTTCGCCTTCCAAAAGTACTGTCACCTCACTATTGAATACAACTACCCCACAACCCCAGGCGATCACACATTTAAAAACAAAGGTTTGCTGGAACATAGTGACAGTGAAACTTGTTATGCCACCTGACCTTTCCACCGGAAATGCTGAATTAGGACAATAAGTGACTATTGTAAAATCTCGACTTGAGTGTAGCATGTGGCTGAAAAAGAAATAACACAATTTGAAATAGGGATAAACTCGGATTTAGTCGAGATTTAGCTCACTCTCTCCACCATCTATTTGTGGAACACTGAGCCTCGCTAAATCCAAAAACTCTGCTTTGTAAGTTGGATTGTCGGTGAAGAAGGAGCAGAAATAAACAATGTCGTGTTCAGCAATTCATTTTGTCCTTGTTGTTGTTGTTGTCCTCAGGCACCTGCCAATGTAATGTCTACGGCTCCTATAAGGGTACATGTGACCCAGCCACTGGTCAGTGCTCTTGTAAACCGGGTGTCGGGGGACAGAAGTGCGACCGCTGCGAGCCTGGCTTCTGGAACTTCCGTGGTATTGTGACGGAGAACATGAGCGGCTGCACACGTAAGCTTTTTGAGGGCGGGGAGGGGGTGGGGGGGGGGCATCTCCCATTTTGAATAGCTAAGTAAAAACCGAGTCACACACATTTTACTGAACATTTGATTTTAATTGTTTCTATCTATAGTATAATTGAGTCTGTCAAGAAAAAAATTACACGAATAGTAAATCTGGTGTTACTTGTCTATTTGAAACTGTCTGTGAGCGAGTTTGTGTCACGTTGCGAGGTGGTGGTGGACCCCAAAAAGCAGGCAGGAGGGAGGAGCAGGGTGTACTTGACAAATTGTACTGAAACACAGAGAAAACTAAATCCTAAACAAACAAAGTCCAAAGTATCAAACAAAAAACATGACTGAAGATAAAACATAACAATGACCTAAACATGACTGAAACAAACATGACAGCAGCCAACAAACAGCAACAAACAAACATGACAGTAGCCAAGAGCAAACAATGACCCGACACTGAGTGTTCGGGCTGGGAGTCCTTTTAAAGCACTAATTACATCATGACCAACAGGTGTGCAGCTGCAGGGAGAGCGCTACAGTGCCACCTGTTGGTCCCAAACCGAATCATGACAGTTTGCTGATAAACAGCGACACGGTTTGGCTAACGTGCTGTCTACATATATATAAAACCCCACCACCACACCAAACGTTTCCACCCGTGGCATGCCAGGTAGTCTGACAAAGATCTTCCGCTTCGTCGCAGTGTCCTAGCTCCACTCAGTTGTCATGGTGATAAAAATTCACTAAGCATGAACTCGCTGTAGTTCTTAGCAGTGAGCGCCACAGCAAATGAGCTCCCTTATTTGCCTCTGACAAGATTGCGCCCTCGAAAGAAAAGGTGTACCTTGTTACTTAGTATTATTTTCATGTGATGTTATTAAGACATATGCGAACTGTTTTAATTTGTGAAACGAAACAGCTTTAATACGAACGTACCAGAGCACGGTCATTTTTTTTCACATAATCCTTTTTTTTTTTTTCGATTCATTTATTCATTTTGTGAAAATCATGTCCAAAGCTTTTTTTTTTTCTTCTCATAATAAATGTTGTGTTTTTGTTTCATTTTCACAGTGGATTTAGATGTGTTATCACAACCGGCTAATTCTATTTTAAAATGACTCCTTTATTTCTTCTTTTGGGAAACCTGATTTTGTCCTGTCAAACTGAAACCAACAAAGATCCATTTGTATTCAAGTAGTCCGCTTGGCTCCCATGGGATGCCGCTTCCTGCAGCCGAAATGTCTACGTTCAGATGCTCCTATAGCCGCAGATCATTTCTCGTCAATAAGCCGAGATGTGCCTCGGCCTCTCTTAATAAGCATGACAGAGGGATGTACGGCAATACTCGATCCCCGAAAGACAACGAAGCGCACACGTCATTGATTTCAGGAACACGGCGGGATTATTGTCACACCCTCAGGCTGATTGTCTTTGGCTTTTTGTTGCACACTCGCCTTCCTCTGTGGCCCTCAGAATGAGTGAGTCACAGGACAGGGACTGACCTAAGCCCTCATCGATCCATCCCTTTTATCAATCCTTTCTTCTCTCCTTCCCCACGGGCAGCGTGCAACTGCGACGCCAGCGGGTCCGTGCGTGACGACTGCGAGCAGATGTCGGGTCTGTGCTCTTGTAAGGCCGGGGTGAAGGGCATGAAGTGTAATGTGTGTCCAGATGGAAGCAAGATGGGCATGAATGGCTGCGACAAAGGTAACACACGGGCAATTACCGGAACAAAACTGACAAAAATTTCAATGCACTCTTGTTCTCACGTCTTGTTCTTTAAGGTTGTTTTTCTGGGGATAACTTTGTGTCTAACAGGGGCCTTTGCCAGTCATCAATAGCAAGGAAGACAATCCTGCAATGTGCATTTTAATGACACATTACTCGTGAATATTTTTATGACCTCCACCAGGGAAGTTATTTTCATCTGCGCGTGGCGTCCATGTGCAACTTGATTAAAAAAAAATGATTACATTATTCTTAAAAAATGTTCTCTTTATTTTCTCTCATGAAACAAACAGCTGATGAACCAATGACTTCACTGACATGAAATGAGAACTTTTTTCGCCAGAAAATGTTCATTTTCTATTATTGCAGGATTATTGTTCCAGTTTAGCAGATTTAATCTTTTAGATTGAGGATGTTATTCTTGGAAGGTACAATTTTCTTCTCATGCCGTATCAAGTACAATCAAAGTGAGATTATATAAAACATCCCATCGTCACAAATTTACTTTTTCAGCAAATCGAACAATGTTTTAAGGCAGAACAATGCAGCATCTTTTATAGATGCCATTCGATAATTTACAGACCAGTAGCAGAATTTTCTACAGCTGACTGGGGGGCAGTGCAAAGCCTTTCAGACAGGACCCCCCCATTGTCATGGCCATTTAATCAGATTCAAACTGTCTACGAGTCACAAAAATGTTTTATAATTTCCTCCAAAGAGGACTTGAAACTCTTTCGGACTGTTGTATTTAATCCCGCCCACATTTCCAACCTCTTCAACAGTATATTATGATCAGCTGTATCAAACGCTGCTCTGAGATCCAATAAGACAAGCACCAACGCCTTCCCTGCATCAGTGTGTGAAGTGATATCATTTTCTACAGTCATAAGAGTAATGAGGTTGGACACCTGATTGGAATACGTTTAAGTTCAAAAATTTGCTTGAAAAAGTTGATTGAAAACCGCTGGCTCGAAAATCTTGGTCAACAAGGGAAGGTTTGAGGTTGGTCCAAAATAAGGAGACATCAGGTGTTCTTTTTGTTTTTGTTTTTGTTTTTTTAAGAAGAAGGTTGATGGCCGCTTGCCTCGGTGTAACCTTGTTCCAAATGTTTTCCTCTTAACATATATTAGTCCTACTTGGTTCATTTGTATTTCCGCATAAGGACTATTGATTCTTCAGATGAATAATGAAAACAGGCTGGCTTTAAGTAGGTTGATAGAAAAGGTTAGCTCCTGCTGTGGGGAGGGGCGCGCAGCTGCTTGATTAAGATGCTCTATCAGCTATTGACTGGAAGTCAAAAGCTGAATCAAGTCAGCAACGGGGCGCACTGGTGGGGCTCCCCTCCCTGTTCACCATGTCAGATGCAAAGACAAGGCACCGGAGGCAAGGAAAGGGTGGTGCTTGAAGTTGCTGTGGGTTAGCGCTATCGTGCAAAGGCCTTTCGCTTCTGGCCTGTTGCGTGCACGCCAGGCCCCTTCAGCACGTGCAGCAGTTACCTTCAAGGCTTTAAATGCTTCTCAAGTACAAAAAGATTTACCGAATGTAAACATGACAAAGGCCTCTCCAAAATATTCCGGCGTGCGGTACATTTTCACAATATGACATTCCCTTTGATCCACAAGGCTGCTTTTGGATGAAATAGTGTGCGACAGGAAAACTCTGAATTATTCATTTATGTATTTGACAGGTGAATACACTGCTTTGTGACTATATTAATATAGTAACACTTTGGGTTATATGAGGGTATAATACATAGATAATGTACTTGATCAATAATTCAGTTTGTCTGTTCGTCTGTCAATAAACTACCGGTACTCCGTAAACTGTGCATGTATACAATAGTGCTAGATTCAAAGAGTTCTTCTTTACTCCTGAACAATCCGATGGAAACCTCTGTGTACCTCTTGTTTTATTTATATTTATAGTTTTTTTTTTTTTTATGTTGATTATACTGTTATACATAAGAGCAAACAGCAAGAATATTGTTTACTGGGTTTACAATATGCACACAAAGTGTCGAGATTTTAATAGGGGCTCCATTTGATCCACAAGGCTGCTTTTGGATGAAATAGTGTGCGACAGGAAAACTCTGAATTATTCATTTATGTATTTGACAGGTGAATACACTGCTTTGTGACTATATTAATATATTAACGCTTTGGGTTATATGAGGGTATAATACATAGATAATGTACCCGATCAATAATTCAGAGTTAGTCTCTTCGTCTGTCAATAAACTACTCCATAAACTGTGCATGGATACAATAGTGCTAGATTCAAAGAGGTCTTTACTACTGAACAATCCGATGGAAACCTCTGTGTACCTCTTGTTTTATTTATATTTATAGTTTTTTTTTTTATGTTGATTATACTGTTATACTAAAGTATATTCAATACATAAGAGCAAACAGCAAGAATATTGTTTACTGGGTTTACAATGTGCACACAAAGTGTAGGGATTTTAATAGGGGCTCCGAATTCGGTTGCATTTAATTTCATGTCATTACTCTTGCAAGCAGAAAAATTAAACCTAATCAATTAATAATATCAACTAATTAATCTTTCAGGTCCAGAGGCTCCGAATTCATGTGATGAGTTACTTTGTAGTTTTGGAGCATCTTGTTTTGAGGTGAATGGTCAGGCCCATTGTGAGTGCCCCTCACCTGACTGTGATGAACGGAACAAAACTAAGGTGTGTATTTCAAGATCGTGCGGTGTGTGTGTGTGGGGTGGGGGGGGGTCGGCTTTAATTGAGTGGGTTTGCTAGCGTGTTCCAACAGGGAATAAAAAAGTGTAAGTGTTCCCCTGTGGAGCAGGTGTGCGGTTCTGATGGGGTGACGTATGGCGACCAGTGCCAGCTGAGGACCATCGCCTGCAGGCAGGACAAGGCCATCATAGTGCAACACTTTGGACAATGCACAGGTGAGCCCTGATGAAGCCTCCATGCATCACACACATTGTACAGATGGCCAAATGTCCCCCGACCCGGCCCCAGTCGCCCCAGTCACATGACAACACGTAACACCCTGGTCTCACATATGCATCCCCCGCCCCCAACCTCGTACCAATTTTTCATTAGCCTTCAAATCTGATTTTTTTTTTTTTTAATCACCTTGTGCATGTATTGGGATCTTATGCTTGAGTTTGATCTGGTGGATATTATCAGTCGTGCAGTGTGCTGACCGTACGTGAAGTCAATTTCCACTCAGTGCTCCACAGTGTCCTGTGACGAGTCTTGAGTGTAGTTCACCTTTCACCCGAAGTCAGCTCGGAGAAGGCGCGCAGCTGCTTGATTAAGATGCTCTATCAGCTATTGACTGGAAGTCAAAAGCTGAATCAAGTCAGCAACGGGGCGCACTGGTGGGGCTCCCCTCCCTGTTCACCATGTCAGATGAAAAGACAAGGCACCGGGAGGTTGAGGTGCATGAAAGCAGGAGGCAAGGAAAGGGTGGTGCTTGAAGTTGCTGTGGGTTAGCGCTATCGTGCAAAGGCCTTTCGCTTCTGGCCTGTTGCGTGCACGCCAGGCCCCTTCAGCACGTGCAGCAGTTACCTTCAAGGCTTTAAATGCTTCTCAAGTACAAAAAGATTTACCGAATGTAAACATGACAAAGGCCTCTCCAAAATATTCCGGCGTGCGGTACATTTTCACAATATGACATTCCCTTTGATCCACAAGGCTGCTTTTGGATGAAATAGTGTGCGACAGGAAAACTCTGAATTATTCATTTATGTATTTGACAGGTGAATACACTGCTTTGTGACTATATTAATATAGTAACACTTTGGGTTATATGAGGGTATAATACATAGATAATGTACTTGATCAATAATTCAGTTTGTCTGTTCGTCTGTCAATAAACTACCGGTACTCCGTAAACTGTGCATGTATACAATAGTGCTAGATTCAAAGAGTTCTTCTTTACTCCTGAACAATCCGATGGAAACCTCTGTGTACCTCTTGTTTTATTTATATTTATAGTTTTTTTTTTTTTTATGTTGATTATACTGTTATACATAAGAGCAAACAGCAAGAATATTGTTTACTGGGTTTACAATATGCACACAAAGTGTCGAGATTTTAATAGGGGCTCCAAATTCGGTTGCATTTAATTTCATGTCATTACTCTTGCAAGCAGAAAAATTAAACCTAATCAATTAATAATATCAACTAATTAATCTTTCAGGTCCAGAGGCTCCGAATTCATGTGATGAGTTACTTTGTAGTTTTGGAGCATCTTGTTTTGAGGTGAATGGTCAGGCCCATTGTGAGTGCCCCTCACCTGACTGTGATGAACGGAACAAAACTAAGGTGTGTATTTCAAGATGGTGCTCTGTGTGTGTGTGTGTGTGTGTGTGTGTGTATCTATATATATAAAATGAATGTGTGCAGAGGCATAGAGACAGCAGTTATGTAAAAATAAAATAAATAAAATAAACAAGCTTTAATTGAGTGGGTTTGCTAGCGTGTTCCAACAGGGAATAAAAAAGTGTAAGTGTTCCCCTGTGGAGCAGGTGTGCGGTTCTGATGGGGTGACGTATGGCGACCAGTGCCAGCTGAGGACCATCGCCTGCAGGCAGGACAAGGCCATCATAGTGCAACACTTTGGACAATGCACAGGTGAGCCCTGATGAAGCCTCCATGCATCACACACATTGTACAGATGGCCAAATGTCCCCCGACCCGGCCCCAGTCGCCCCAGTCACATGACAACACGTAACACCCTGGTCTCACATATGCATCCCCCGCCCCCAACCTCGTACCAATTTTTCATTAGCCTTCAAATCTGATTTTTTTTTTTTAATCACCTTGTGCATGTATTGGGATCTTATGCTTGAGTTTGATCTGGTGGATATTATCAGTCGTGCAGTGTGCTGACCGTATGTGAAGTCAATTTCCACTCAGTGCTCCACAGTGTCCTCTGACTAGTCGTGATTGTAGTTCACCTTTCACCCGAAGTCAGCTCGGAGAGCTCATGACCCCTGAACAACATAAATAATGTAGAAACTGAAGAGCTCTGCCAAGGAGGTAATCTTTGAAATCATGTAGATTTGAGGGCCTTACCTGTACAGTATTCATGATAACATAGATGACATTAGATGTAAATTTGTCATCTGCGAAATTGGGAAGATTCATTAAAAATGTCCTCGTCAAAGATAGTGTTTTGATTTAAAATAATTTGTAGAGTAGTAGTTCACCTTTTTCTACACTTTTATGAAAGTTAATGGGATATGACTTTATGACGGACATATTTTAATGCTACTTAAATGATCTCTCTCTCTCTCTCTCTCTCTCTCTCTCTCTCTCTCTCTCTGGTATATATCTATATTGGTATACATACCAATACCAATCAGAGTTTTACAAAAGTTGTACAGATTATGTTCAACCTTAGACGTTCCATGCCTTTAACCATGATTACTCAACAAAGCAGTAGTGTTCATTTTTTGAGTGATATTTTAGTTAGATCAATCCAAACGACTTTCACCACTTTCATAGAGCTGTTTAAAAGTAAGGCTAAGTGAAAGCAAAGTGGCGTGCGTCACTAGGGAAAATTTGCTGAACATTTATAGGAATTAACGGGGGGAGAGAAGGCACCACGAGAGTGGCTGTCTTTACAGCAGCTCCTATACTTTTTGTTCTTCTGATTTCTTGCTTTAATAACTTTGCTGCTATAAATTGGGAATTTCTCCATTGTGAGACAAATAAAGGTTTTCTTATTCTTCTTCTTATAAATAAAGCACTGGCAGGCTGTCTATTTTACTCACCCAGTGTCATGATTTTGACCCCTTCTGTGAAGCGTGTCAATTCAAATCTGTCACAAACGTTATGGAACATGCCAAGTGCATGTGTATTGAGTGAAAGGCACATCTCCTTTTTCCTTTTGGTGCAGATGCCACTGGGCACAGTTGAGATCAGTGTTTTAGGTTGCCGGCACTAGAGCCAAGGTCATGACTTTCATGTCTGATCATGTCGTCCCAGTGACAGCCAGCTTTTGCCACATTGGGACGGTATGGAAATGTTGCAGTGAAGAAGAGGAGGGCCAGCTGTATGGCTCTGGACATTAGCCACTGACAGCAGCTTGGCTGGAAGTGGTTGTTTCACCTCATCTCTCTGTGCACTCAGGCCAGGTGATTTTGTACACCTGTCACCGGGATAACTAAGTCATCCACCATTAGTGACTCCTTGACGGACTCTTTTGTCCCCATTTTCAGGAGCCAAGCAGGGCTTTAAATTTTAGGGACAGTGGTCAAAGCAAAGATATGCTGCGAAACAGGTCACCGGACCAGACATGTTCTGAGATGGGTTACCAGTGAAAAAAAAGGCTGCCAAAATTCATTCCATGTTTTTTTTTCATGCCTCCATTGCCTGGCAGTTGCCATGTGACTCGTGTGTAATCCCTCGCCAAGTGTTGCCGCACATGGAAGGAAGGCCAGAAGACGCCTCCAAGCAGATTCTTTTTTTTTCTTTTCGACTCATTCTATCAAGCCCTCAGGGAAGGAACAGACAGACGCCCTGACGGAGGATCTTTTAATTCTTTCCCCCCCGGATGCGGTTGCGTGGCGGGAAGCATCTCCTCCACTCCTGTCGGCTTCAGGGGTTCGATCTGGAGCTCATTTCACGTGTGGCTGGGTGCGAATTAGCATTAGCTCTGCCTCCTTCCTCTTGCTGTGCTCCAGCCCGGTCCTTCAATCCCCCCTGCTGTGTACATGCGGAGTTTGCAGACACGGCGGATTTGTGAACGCACTCGTTGACCGTGTTGCATTTGTCAACAATGCAACACCAAGGGCTTATGGATTTGGGTGACTATTTAGGCATTGAGGTGCAGTGGAAGCTCCAAGGTCGAATGCAATCCGCTCCCAAAGTAAATAAAATAACCCAAATGTTCCAGGGACAGACTGCTGCCTTCATCAACCCTTCACGATGATCTTCTTGAATTCTATGTAAACATGGAACACAACACAAATAGCCGAGTGACTATTTAATGGAAATGACTACATGACCAATTATAGTGTGAGGACGCGAGTTCTTGGGGTAGGCGAGCAGCACTGTGTTGCAAACTATAAAGCCTTTCACTAACCTGGGGGAAAAAAAAAACATTCATGCGCAATTTTCCCATGGTGGGAAGTGGCCAGTGACTTGCCAATGGCGTGGCCTCCTCCCATATGGCGTTATCACCTGTAGGTTTGCAGCAAATTGGCAAATGATGCTAGCATATGGCGTCGTCAGCCTGTGTGTTAGTCAGGCTTCTGTTGCCTTCTCCAGCTCGTTTTTCGGAGGTTTTATTTCTCATTATTCAATCCCTCATTCTTCCCCTATTGTTTGCTCTGCCATCTTCTCTCCCACTGCTGCCTTTGTTAACTTGTTTACTTTGTCACTCTGTCGCCCTTCTTCTTCTGGCCTCTGTCTTTTGCCTTCACTCTCCTCCTTACAACCGAGCATGGTTGACAACCCGAACAATCTAAATAGCCATGTTTCAACATTAAATACATGGCTCCAGACAAACCACGATGACAATGATTTCCTTTCTTCCTGTCCGTCTTGGTGACATGACTGTTCACTGGCCGGCTAACATAGAATAAATGAATGCTAACGGAGTGTTCAATCGGATTAAGAAAAGCTTCAAAAAATGAAAAGGCTAGGCCGAATGTCCTTCCATCTCATACTTACGCTATTCCCCATAATTTTCAATTCAGAAGGTCTGAAATGTTTGATTTCACTGACCCTTGAGTCGGCGGTGGGAGAAAAGTGTTTGAGTCATCTCATACTGCTGCCACTCTCAAGACAAAAAGACTGGAGAAAACGCAGAAAAAATGGCCACTGACTCACCATGAATGTCAGTTGCTTGTTGTTCCCATTAGAAAGTGGTCACAGTGTGAGAGGGGCAAATGTAATTTTTACCGTCTGTTTCACCCGGGTGGTTGACTGGCGACCAATGTGGCAGCATCTTTGGTGTACACATATAGTTGGCCCATGTGTTCATCTCGGGCCTTTTTGTGAAGTAACAATATAATGGAACTATGAATTAAAGCTATTTGACCTTATGGATGAATGAACCAAAAAATCCCCCCAGCCTCTTTTCGAAATCTTGTCAAAAGTTTTCCAAGCAGAAGTTTCTGCTGCTGAAAATCCCACATATGGTTCCCATTTGCAATTCCTGCAGGAGTTCCACTACTTTTGTAAATGCAGCGTCGCTTTTTCTCCCCTCTTACCTTAGCCTCTGCTATTATCTGCACAGCCATCCAGCCACCTGACACTAAGCCTGCATGCGGAGTGACAGGTGTAGCCAAGGGGAATGGCAACGCATGCCGCCACAATGTCGACGATACCATCTCCACTTCTCTTTGCGACCCACTCCAAATCCGTCCCTACGCAAAAAAATGTTCCGAGCTCAAAGCTGACACCTCTGCCTGGTCCTCCGCCGCCCCAGGTGGTATCACGTTTCACACCTCAGCGAGGAACTGTCAGTCAAGGAGGTGATTATAGCAACGTGATTAGGCCGAACACACAATGTTAGGCGAATCCTAATTAGGTTTGTGTTGATGTCACCCACCTGCATTTATTAGCATGGCCAGTGAGGGATGCAAAGAAAGCCCGCTTGTCTCAGCTTACTTGCTTATGTAGCTTCACCGTATTTACTCACTTTTCTTCAGGAGGACTTTTTGTCCTATTTATCGTTCTTTCATCAGAACAGAGTTATGTCCTTTTTTTTTTTTTCCGGGGGTAATAATGGTCTCTCGGCAGCGAGCCTCCTCTCTCTTCCATACTCTGAGTGATTCTTTGCCCGAATGAGCGCTTGTTTGCCGTGCATCTGTTTGTGGTGGCGTTGACGACGTTGGCGCCAGCGAGCGGAGTGCCGCCTTTGAAGCCCTGAGTTAAAGCAGCTTGGGTTGTTTTTTTCATGGCCTATTTCCATCAATCATTCATCACCAGCGGCACTGGCTGTTGGTGATTAAAGCTTTACTTCTGCAAGGCAGCATGTGAATATGGATAGAAAATTCAAAGGCATACGTGCACTACACAAACATGAATAAATAGTAAGTGTGAAAATAGGCGGAAAAGACACACTCGAACCGTGCATTGATTGCAACAATGTGCAGATGACACACTAGAGTGCATTTTGCTCTGTGTGTTATCTGTTGGCACTATGCATATTTATCATTACTTTATTGGACCGCTACCACAGGAAAATGAAATAACGGCAACCACAAAGCCCTTCTTCTGACATCTAAAGAGCGGATAACAGTGTGTGTATTGTTTGTTGTTTGTTTCTTTAACTATTTGTCCATCCATCCACCCATTTTCCGATCCGCTTTATCCTCACAAGTCGCGGGGGCGTGCTGGAGCCTATCCCAGCCGTCATCGGGCAGTAGGCGGGGGACACCCTGAACCGGTTGCCAGCCAATCACAGGGCACACAGAGACGAACAATCATCCGCGCTCACACTCACACCTCGGGACAATTTTGAACGTGTGGGTGTGGGTGTGGGTGTGGGTGTGTGGTTTCATAATGACATTGCTGACCATCACAGAGAAGGAACATGTACATATAGTCAAGGAAAAAAATATATTTTGTTGTCTTTGTGTAAGTTTTACAATGAGGGGGAATTACAGCAAATGTCACAAGTTTCCAACATTTCCATCTTGGCTCAATCATTCATCCATTCCTTGCTTCCTCCCCTTCCCTCCGCCAGAAACCATCTCCGAGCGGGCTGAGCGACCCACTCCAACCCTGCTTACCGCCACCACCATCACAACGCCAGCTCCCTTAAATTATAACCTGGTGTGGGCCATTCCGCCTCCGAGAACGGCCGAGACTGCTGAGACTACGGTGCAGCCCCCTGCCACCACGCCCTCACCCACGCTCACACACCACCGTGCGCAAAAAAACCACCACCACCCCTCCATCCACATCCAACCTCAGTCGCCACGGTCAACCCCCGCCCCCACCACTACCGCCTCTCAAGGTAGCCCCGCCCCCTCGACCGCTGCAAATTCTTTCGAGGGTTCGGGCAGTGGGGAGCCTAGTGGAGATGACCAAGCTGAGGAAGAGGAGGAGCCGGAAGAGGAAGCGGGTAGCGGCGTGCCACCAGAGGCCAGTGGGGCGGAGGAGCCTTTTGGTAAATCCTTGCTCTTTCATGATCACACCCATAATGCTTTCACAGCTCAACATATTGTGAGTATGGACCAAATATTTAATGTCATACCATAACATATTCATGTCATCAAATACTTCAAGTCAAATATGTAGATGTTGTATGAAGATGGGTTTATTCTCTTCTTTACAATGTTCCGTCATTGACCACACCTGCAGATCCGGTAATCAAAAAAATCGAAACTAATGTTCACCTTTGATGGTCACTGTCCGAGATGGATTCAATTTACAATGACAATTGTGAATATTGACATTCAGATGAAAACCTCCATGTACCTTTTAGCATTAAGTGTGATCTCAGAGATGTGCAAGTCTATTTTTCCCGGAGAACAATCCGGACAGTCTTTTCCACTTTGGTTCAAGGTTCACAATGTTTTTCCAAAAAACTATTTGAAATGTGGACTCCTCAGACCACAGCACGCTTTTTCCACTTAGCGTCGGGTCAATGTCAGATGAGCTTGGGCTCAGAGAAGCCGATGGCCTTTGCTTTGCATGGTAGAGTTTTAACTTGCAATTGTTGAACTGTATTAACTGGCAGGGGTTTTCCCAATTGCTTCCGAGCCCATGTGGCAATGTCGTTTTCAAAATCATGCCCGGCTTTAATGAGGTCCAGCCTGAAGGATTAAAGGTGACAGGCGTTCAATATTGCTTTGCAGCCTTGCTGCTTACATGCTGAGATTTCTTCTTTTCATGATATCTCAATTTGAGTCAGACAGCAATCTGCATGGTTCACTGTCACTGCCCACCGTCCATGCTGTCATTCTTCCGACAGTCAAATAGCAGAAGAATAAAGTTTGAGCTCTCCAGATGAAACCGCTGGCCCGTATCCGGGTCTCTTAGGAACCTGAATTGAGAGGATGATATGACTGGGCGGTTTGAGGTGAGAGCGTGTGCGTGTCGGCTGCCTTCAATCAGTCACAGTCACATGACGAGTCATCCCAAATCTTTCCCGATACGCCCTGCTGCCTGGGGATGACGGGCTCCTTTCCATCAGATCCTGTCTAGTTTTCCCTCCTTTCCTCCGCCTCAGTTGTCAACTTGCAACAAACGTAGAGGATGGTTGGAACAGCGTGACCCCCCCGATGTGGTCTTCTTCATCCTCTTCCTCGCCTCCTCGCTCTCCCAAGCGTCTTAGATTTATCCTCCTGTCAGATGCTGACCAATGCTCGGTGACGCAAGGAGCATGTAGTGTGTTTACCAAGCAGACCTGCTGTCTTGTGCCTCTCTGTCTGAATGAAAGTGTATCCAACCATGCCCGAGTGTTTTTTTTTTCTCCCTAAGCTTTATGTGCATCTATTGAAGTGCTGTACCAGATCAAATAGCCTTTTTTTTTTTAGAATGTAGCATGATGGGATTCCACAACGATGCACATATCCAAAGCAATCCAAAATGTTAGCGGAATTGGGAGGTTCAAATCTCGAGCTGAGGCCTTCGTACCACATTGCAAAAAAAAAAAATGCATGTGAGGTTAATTGAAAACTCGAAATTGTCCATTGGTGTGATTTTGACTGTGAGTTGTTGTCTGAATGTGCCCTGCGCCTCTCACCCAAAGTCGACTGGAATAGCTTCCAGCCCATGTGCAGAACGGGAATAGAAAGAGCTCAAGCGGAATAAAAAATTAATGCATGGATGGAAGTTCCACTAATGGTAGCGTGGAGGTAACCTAGAAACCAACTTTTTATTTACAAAACTCATGAATTGTTGAATTACTGAATCATTCTTTCGTATTACTGTAACAAATCGTTAGTGTACCGTTGCAATAGAGTATGTAAATCAAGCAGGTGGTGGGGTGTGCGCAGACCTCGTGCATGTGTAATGGCGCTCAATTGAAATCCACACATAAAATCTGTCCGTGTGTTAGCGCATGTTTATGTGACAGTTATTCTTACGGCTCCCCGTGGAGTTGCGATGCAGTCTCCTTGCCACTTCATATTCCCCGTAGCCATCCTCTCCTCTTCGGCCCAGCACCCATAAATCTACAGAGCACACTCCAACACATGCTCTATAAGCCCTTCATCTTTCTCCTCCCTCCTTCCTTTGACCGCGAGTCCTTGAGCAGAATGTGTCCCCCCCCCTCCCAGCCCCCTCCCATATTTTGACGTCTTTACGACTTGTTTAGCCATTAGCTGTTTGCCTCCATGATTATTTCTGATCGCCGAGCGGCCATAAACTGCGCGGCTTCGGCCGAGACGCCCCTGCCGCCGACACCGTCATTAGTGAAGATGGAGGTTCACTGCTTGTGCAGTGTATTACACAGTTGGTCAGGGAGCGGGACCACACACTTTTTATGTTTTACGGCCGCATATACAGGAAGCATACATGCATATATTTCCTTCTCATGAAAGGGGGAGGGACAGCATTGACGCCGGCTGTCAGTCAGATCTCTTTATGTGGAAACCCCATTCGCCTTTTTTTTAAACAGATATGCTGCGAATATGATAGAATACTAACTTACTGTCAGTTTGGGCTTTCTCCAATTCCAATTTGTCAACAAATAGTTGACCAGGCTCATCATAAAACTTCCCAACTGACATAAAAGGTGAGAAAGGACAGCGTGAATTGTCAGGAACGGGCAATCAGACAATGTACCGGTATGCAATTTACAGGAATATGATGCAAGCGTATCTGCCCTTTATTATTACCCGCTGTCATTATCCTTTCTTGTACTCTATTATTATGTTAGATTCGTCGACTCTTGGGTATTCATTGTGCTATTGTATATGTAATATTATTCATATCATTATGAGATTCTAAAATACACAACTGCTGTTTTTGCTCCAGTGCGGAGCATCAACGGTGGGCATGGTCTTTTGACAGTGCTCAAAATGCGCTTCACGTTTTGCTTCCTGTTTGAGAATTTAAAATACGTAGTCATGAAAATAATGCAGATTCTACAAATCACAATTAACATTCTCAAATCAAGACAGAAACAACTGCTGTTTTTGCTCCAGTGCGGAGCATCAACACTTTTTGACAGTGCTCATAATGTGCTTCACGTTTTGCTTCCTGTTTGTGAATTTAAAATACGTAGTCATGAAAATAATGCAAATTCTACTAATCACAATTAACATTCTCAAATCAAGAAAGAGAAATTAAATCACAAAAAAATACGATAATATAATGTGTAATAATAACAACAAAGAAGTACTCATAGATAGGCACTATCAGAGTGGTATTAACTTCCTAAGATCTTTATTGTTGTGCTTGTAGTTTGCCGTATTGTTTCTAATATTTGCACCCCAAATCGCTCTCCAGGACCCACATTGGAAAACACGGCAATAACCGTCGCTGATGACAAGTCGTCCTGTGACAACACCGAATTTGGATGCTGCCCTGACAGTCTGACTCCAGCCAGCAGCCCAGATGGAACCAACTGTCCACGTAAGTGTACTCTCATTTTCATTCATTCAATTATCAAATCTCTTTTTTGGTTAAGTTTCCCTTTTTTATT